TGTGTGTGTGTGTGTGTGTGTGTGTGTGTGTGTGTGTGTGTGTGTGTGTGTGTGCGCGCGTGCGCGCACTGTTCCTCCACTCTCCACCCTCCACCCCCCGGGTCCTGCCTGCCTCACCCCACGGATGTCTTCTTCAGCTTGGCACACAACAGGACGTCTGTGAAGAGAAAGACGTGTCGAAGCTTCCTCGAACTCTCAGCCATCTCCACGAGGAACCCATCCTTCACCAGCTGCCGGGTCTGATGGGAGACAGCACCAACCCAGCCCTGCTCAGAGGGGTGCTGCAGGTGGGGCTGGGGGTCAGCTGAGTGAATGGGGTGGGGAGGGCTGGTATTATAAGCCAGGGCAGCTCCCTCTGCTTAGGAACCCAGGCACCCAAGGGGGCCAACCCTAGTCAAGGGGCCTTAAAGGGTGGTTTCCTCCTGGCCGAGTACCCCACAGGAATCTCTGGGTGCTCTGCATGGAACCAAGCACATCCCCTGGGAATCCCCCCTGGCCCAAGAAGCTGATCTGATTCTAGCTTCACTATAGGAGGGGAAGATTCCGTCTAATGCTTTGACTGGATACCCCGGATCCACCCTCAGCTCACGGATGGACCCAGTGCACACCCCAATTCCTGGGGCATCCAGGAATAACCCGCACTCAAGCCCTGGCTCCCTTCCTGACCACTCCAGAGCCGTCAAAGGGACTCATTTATCAACGTTCTGGTCCAGGCCACGCTTCCCAAATTTCCCTTCCTCTCCTCCAAACAAACAGGATACCCGCCTCAGCACCCGTCACTACCAATTGCTCTTCGTGAGTTTCCACATCCTATCACTGTGCGGTGTCTTAACACCTCTCCTCCTCTCACCTCTTCTTAAAAATATACCCCAGTGCCTGTGCACATGTGCGCATGTGCGCATGTATGCATGCACACATACAGACATAGTGAAAAGAGCACTAGCTTCAGAAGGGTTGAATTCCAGCTCTGATACTTTCCTCCAGTGTGACCTTGGGCAAGTCCCTTAACATCCCTGGGCTTTCAGACCTCATCTGACAAAGGAGAGGGCAGGACTAGATCTTGGAGGTATCTTCCAGATCAAAAATCTATGACCCACCCCCCTCCCCCGGTTATATACGGAATACTTCTATGGCATAGATCTACAATCTAAAATATAGCTGATACTTTCAAGCATCAAATCGATCTGAAAACAAATAATTAAAATGAATGAAAACAGATGGGGTTTGGACTGCTTTCAGAGAATTCCAGGCCCCTTCCTGAGATTAATGGGGACATCCTTGGGGTCTACAAACCTGGGCTGGGAATCGCACACACTTCCGGGTCTCATCAATCACTGCAAGGCCCCTGCCTCCTGCCTCCCTCCATCTCTCAGCTCAGCCCATGGGCTTGAGCTTCATAAGTCAGATAAATGACTGTGACCCCGGCCAGCCTTCAGTGTTCGGTACCGTCTATTCACTTTTACTGGACGGTGAGCGTGGGGTTCCTGGTTGGCCTTTGGGCCTTCACAGCTGCCTAGGAACTTGGGGTCCTCTTGAGCCTCTCTTCACCCAGCCCCACAGAGAAGGAAGCATTTGAAGAAGGGTCATTACCTCGCTCCCACATGTTATATACAGGCAACCTCTAAGGTCCCTTCCTACATCTAAGAACCCCTGTTCTTAACCTTTTATAGGTGAACATGGTCCCCTCTGGCACAGAGTCTGGTGAAGCACTCTTTGCCCCCTGGACCCTTCTCAGAATCATGTTTTTAAATGCATAAAATATGGAGGATTACAAAGAAAGTCAGTTATATTAAAATATCATTGTCAAAGTACTTAAAAAGAATAAGTTCCCAGACCCTAGGTTAAGAATTTCTGCTCTAGAGGACGTTGTCAATTTGGAGATGCATCAACCACCCAATACTACCCGAAACACTGCAGGGCTGGGTCTCTGCCTGCAATGACCTTGGGGCCACAGCTCAGGCAGAAATGGCACCATCCATATAGCGCTGTGGTCCCAATGTTAAGAGGATAGCAGTTAGCAAGCTGAGGCTGGGCTTTATAGGCAGAGGGGCGTTTACCGGTGGCATGACTCTGGGCTTGTCACAACCTCCCCGAGTCTCAGTTTCCTCATCTGTAGAATGAGGCAGCTGGATTCAATGAGGTCCCTTTTAGCTCTAGACCCATGATCATAATACTGCGTCCTAAAAGTAGACCCATTCTATCAGGGTTCCCTAGGATGCAAGTTTCTAGCCTTGGTTAAGAATATATCCAGGAGAGGATATCTTGTTGGGACAACAGACTAAAGCTAACTGACAGAGTAAGAACAGACACAGGTGAAGGTGGGAGCAGACAGAGAATGTATAATACCCTTCTTCAAATGCTTGTCATTTGGCTGAGCTGGCACTGGAAATGGGGGGCCCTCTGAGGCCTGTGCTTACCTCTCCCTTGGGGGTAGTGACTGCAGTCCGGCGGGGGTCAATGTCCTCATTGATGCTGGACAGGAAGTTTTGGGAGATGCGCAGGGCATCCTGCAGTAATGGGTAGTCAGGATGGTCCACTGGGGTGTGCTTGAGGAGGTCCTAATTGGAGGATGTGGAGGTGAGGACCAGTGACTTCTGGAGGCAACATCTGCCACATCTATCTCCTGGAGACTAAGCTCTGAGAAAGCTCCCCTTAGGGGCAAGGAAAAACCCTCTTTGCCCACCAGACTTGCCCTGGATGGCATCTTTGTACAGGAACAGGGTCCATGAGAGTTACTTCTGAAAGAACAGCTCAGAGAAGACCATTCTCCCCTCCCTCAGTCCTATCCCCTGTATTTTGAACAGGAAATGGAAAGAGAGGGAGAGATGTGAGGACACGGGGCAAGGGAGGATAGTAAATTGCCCTCCTTCTCCTGAGCAATGGGAGCATTTGGCCAAACGTCAGGATCAGTAGCCAAGCTATATTTAGGCCCAAGGCTGGTTGGCATGGTTACCATGGGCCAAGCAGGTGCAGTCAGGGCCAGGGGACCCTCTGCCTGGCTCCCTAGATTAGCCATTCTGGGCACCACACAATCTCTGTAGCTCCATTGCCTTCCCACCCTTGGACCAGGCTGCCTACTTCTCTGAACCCCCCACCCACCCAGCCGGATACTCACATGGAGGACGAGGGTGCTCCGCGTGACACGGTCGATGGGCTTGTAAAGAAGTGCTGGATGGGGAGTTTGGGGGACAGAGGAAGGAGAGAAGAGCACAAGGAACCCTCATGAGACATCTGAGGCAAGCAGGCCAAGGGCCCCCCATAATGGCCAGCAACTACATGCTTCGTGCATGGTGGGATGTCCCAATCGGTAACTGGAGGTCAAAGGAGCCCCGTTCTTCCTGGTTGTTATTCCTTGTCTCACACAAGCAGGCATTCTCCCCACTCCCTCCACTCACACCCCATTTTCCTCTTCATCCCCAAGGAGTTGCTCATGGATGCCCCTTCCTTGTCTTGGCATAGCCAGAGCAGCTCAGGACCACCTAGAATCATCACACCTGAGTTGGAAGAGACGTCAGAGGTCACCTAACCAATCCACAATTCTACCATTCAATTTTTCAATTCAACAAACATTAGGTGCCTATTATCAAACAATCTATTAACATTTATTAAGTGCCTACTATGTGCTAGTGACTGTGCTAAGCAAGCACTGGACAGTAACCCTGAACCTCTACTTCAGGTTAAAGGTCTCAAGTAAAAGGGAGTCCAACCACCTTTTGAAGCAGCCTAGCCCACTTTTGGGGAGCTCTCATTGTCACAAAGTTCTTCCTCATGTCAAGCCAAAATGGCCTTCCACCTGTTGGAATTTCTGCCCCCTAAGACCATAGAGAATGACTAATCCCTTCAAATGCCTGAAACATCTAAGCCCTCTCTCTCACTCTTCTTTCCCCCTTCTCCTTCCTCCCTCCCCCCCCCAAGAGGGAAGACAGGAGAGGGAGGGAGGGAGGGAGGGAGGAAGGGAGGGGGAGAGAGAGAGACAGAGACAGAGAGACAAAGAGGCACGCAGAGGCAGAGGCTACAACCATTCTCAGCTCCTTCAAGGGATGCAGATCAGATATGTTTCCAGTCCTCTGGATATGGCCCAGGTTATCAGTGTCCTTCCTGAAATGTGTCACCTAGGACACAGCGCCAGGGTCTGAGGGGGCAGAGTACAGGGAGGCCGTCACCCTCCTCATTTCTGACATCATGCCGCTATAAATGCAGGGAGGGTCATGTTAGCTTTTCTGGCTGCTGTAGCCTACTTCTGACTCACACAAGACTCATAAGTCACTAAAAACCTCCTATCGTTTTGCTCACACATGAACTCTAATTGAGCCAGGCACCCCTTATCTTCTATTTTATAGTTGATTTTTTGAACCTACGTGTAGAACTTTACATTTAACTCAAGCTTACAGGAGCTCGCCTTATTTGAAAAACTGACCTCTATCTCTTCCCTTGGACTCATATCAACGCCTGTTAGACTTGGCCTCACATTGTCCAGACAACGCCAGCCCTTCACACTCTTTGGAGGGCATGTCGTGGGCTGGCAGCAGGTAATGCCGCTTTGACCAGACAGGATGGCTGCTCTGGTTCTATCACGCTCGATCACTCTCCTCACCTCCTTCTTCCGTGCTGCCCAGGGCAAGGTAGTAGGAGCCCAACATGGTCAGGAATGTCTATACCCTCAGCCCCATCTCCTTATGCAGAAGAGCCTGTGGCACTGAGATTCCCCTGAAAGGAAGGGATGTGCAGGAGGAGGCACACAGGTACAGGACAGAAATACTCTTTCCAGAGAAACACTTCTGTATTTAGACAAAGAACAGCCCTGGGGGAAGGAAGGAAGGATGCTGGAGGAACCCCTGACTGTGACAAGCTACCTGGGCTTTAGACTCAGGCCGACTGCAGCCAAACGAAGCGCTCCCCTGTCCCCACCGGTGAGAGCCCGCCTTCTAGATCTGGCCAGCAGGAGAGTATTGCTGGGTTCAGTGGAGACAGGTGGAGGCAGCAGCTGGCAGCTGAGTCTGCCAGTGTTTTTCAACTACCAGTTAAAAAACCTTTCCCTCAAAAACCAGCCATAACCCTTTTCTCCCTCCCTGAGAGGATCCAACCAACACCATGTCCAGATTCTGGATCTCTCCGGGCGCTGCATGGGGAAGAATATTCTTGGAGGTGGGACCTATGGTTCAGTCTCCTAGACATCTGGATGGACTCCCTGGGGAGGGGCCGGGGATCTCAGCCTTCAGTCTGGCCCTTTGCCAACATCCCCACCCCATAACAAACAGCCCTAACCATTTGCTAACCAGAAAACAGCTTCCCCTAGCCATAGATATAAACACCCAGCACCCTGCAGAGCAGACAATTTGTTCCTCACAAACACAGGTGAAGACCTCAGGCAGGGTGGAGTAAATGTCTGGAGAGCCAGTGAGCGGCCTCCACCTCACTCTCCTACATTCCCGGCCATCTGGATTCTCAGCCCTTCCCATTCGACGTCTACCAGAGATTGTTTCCCAGCAGTGCCTGGTCTGAGGCACGGGTGCCGCAGCAGGGATGGGGTGGCTGGGCAAACTGGGGCAGAGAGAAAAAGACAGGCATGATCACGGGCATGGCCCTCTGAGTGGAGGCCCATCCTATGCCAGAGATGTAGGATCACAGACACAGAGCTAGAAGAGACCTTGGAAGACATCAATCTGACAAAGAAACAGACACCAAGGGGGTTCCCATCAACCGGGGAACGGCTCAATCAATTATGGTCTATGAATGTAATGGAAGACTATGGTGTTGTAAGAAAGGATGAAAGAAAGGGATGGTTTCAGAGAAACTCAGTATGAAATGAGGCAGTGAGCAGAACAATTTACATGATTGTATAAATTAATAAATTTACAACACCGTAAAGACAAACGAGATCACTCTGATCAATGCAAGGACCGGCCTCAGGAGACTCATGATGAAATACGTCACCCTGGGAGGTGATGGGCTCAGGATACAGGAGAGGCCTAGATTACATGGCTAAAGGGGAATCTGTTTTGCTTGCCTATGCATATCTGCTACAAGGGTTTTTCTTTGTCCCCCCTCCTCCCACTTGGAGAAGTGGGAAAGTGAACAAACAAATGTTTGTTCATTGGGGAAAATGTTTTTACATTTTTTTTTTAAAAGGAGCCACTTATTTTGGCCTGCTTATTTTATAGATGGGGAAAACTGAGGCCTAGAGAGATTAAATGACTTGCCTCAGGTCACAAGTAAGTAGCAGAAGCATCCAGCCTTCCACCGCCCCATCCTGCCTCTGGTGGATACTAGGACAGAGAGGAAAAGAGAGGTAAAAAGGATAATGGGTGACACAGGCAGACAGAGGGAGCCACCCTCCCATCCCAGGCTCAGGGAAAGCTGACGCTGCACCTTCAGCTCCAAGCCTTGGGGTCCCAGGGGGAAGAAGTTTCTGACTAATCTTGCTGGCTCCTTTGGGTGACATCTGCACAAGTCAAGGGTCTGGTTTCACAGGGTTTATTAATACCACTACTGCTCACCTCTAGAGACTTCTGGGCTTTAAAGACCAGTGAACCAAGACCCAAAGTCTTAGCTTCACAGCTTGGGGGAGGGGTTGGGGAGTCAGACCCAAACCACAGCAGCTGTGTTGTGGGCACGTTAAGGAGCAGAAGGCAGTGATGGGAGAAGGACCAGCTGTCTGATTCCCTGGGCATAAGCAGACACGGGGGCAAGCTGTGGAAATAACTTTGGTGGTCACCGGTACATTCTCCAGAGCAAATACGAGTCCCTATTCTTAGATTTAAATGCCTTCCTTTGGAGTGGGGAGAGCCATCCCCTTCTCAGCAATCCCAATCCCTCTACCTTCTGGGGAAACCAACCTTCTTTCTACACATGGCTCTTTTCACTTCTCCCACTTGCAAATCTATTGCCTCTTCCATGATGCCCCCATTACCTGGAATAACTTGTGGAATAGCATGCTACCATTTCCCTCTTCCCTCCAACCTCCAATCTCTACTCCTCCTCCTCCTTTCCGAAAGCCTTCCCAGAATTGAGAGGAATAAGCCAATCAAAGAGTCCGAAGGCCATTCACCCTGTCTACAAAGGGAGATCAAAAAGCCAAAAAGACAGAAAGGCCTCCATTCATCTCTGTCTGGTCTCTTTCAGCAAATCGTCAGGGGAGGGAAGGGGAGGGTGGGAGTATGGCTCTCCCATTCCACACGGCACTTGCAAGTAGTCTATGAATCTCTCCCAGGAAACCAACTTGGTAAAATCCACCAGTAAGAAGCACCTAGAAATACCACTGGCATCCATCCATCCATCCATCCATCCATCCATCCATCCATCCATCCAT